AAAAATATTTTAAATAATATAATATAATATCACATAACAAATCCCAATTTAACCCCTGCATAAGATTTATATTCCGCTTTTACTCAAAACTCACTTTAAACCACCATCGAGTGTTTGTAATAACTTCCGATTGTCGTGTGTGTTTTGGCCATGTATTGTTGCTGAAATTAAATATGTTATTACATCTGAGTCAGAGCAGCGATCATGGAAGAGAGAGCACAGGCAGACAGCGCTAGAAACTGCTAATGCTCATCAGTAAATCAGTGGAAAATGAATAGAAATTATGATTCTGTCTTGAGCTATGCGTTTTAAAACGAACACGCACTAGTGTAAATGTAGATAACAGATGTAAACTGAAGACTATTTATATATATATATATATTGTTTATTGTGCATTAATTATGAATTATATATACACATATATATATATACATATACATATACATACTTTCTTTTTCATATAGACATCTTTCGACATTCTATTCCTGTTCATTCTACAATACAGAATCATTAAGAATAGGGAAAATGTTGACATTCAGTCTGTGTTCGTTCTAAAATGCAGGCCAGATGACATGAATGGGATAATAATTCAAACTGATTTGCCTCATAACTGCATTCACTGTGGAAGAGAATGAATTGACACCAGAAATCACAGATGACATCAAGTCTCAGTGGGATAAAGAAAATAATTTTCTCTCTCGTCTTAATGGATCCAGCATAGTTGATAGTTAAAGAGTAGATTCTGTTTTATCTGACACCTTATGAGAAATATGGCTTTTTAGCATAATGGATATAGACTCCTTTGTTCATGTACAAAGACCCTTTGAACAAACAGAAAAAGATAAAAATTAATTAAGATCACCAGAAGATATTTACAGTCACAATTAAAAGTTAAAGATCAACTGACAGCCTCCAGTAAGGCCAAGTGTGTTCTTGAAGCCCTAGTACAGTAAACCCCCGCTGTCGTACTCCAGCTTTAGGAGGGCGACGCTTGCTAACTCAGCTGCTCTCGTTTACAAGAGTTCGCTTATGTCCTAATAAAGAGTTAAAGTAGCTCCCAGCACATTAGATCACAGCTAGTGGTGTTATCCTAGAGTGCCACATGGAAAAATGGAGGAGATGCCTCCTGCAGCATCTTTTGATCCCGATGCTGTTTATTATTAGCATGCTGTTGCCTGCTAATTGTTTATACTTCCAGGGAAAGAAAACCACCTTCACCCATCAAAGACATGGTCGTTAATCCTAACACAAGTTTTCTTTAAGGAGAGCAATGGGACCTATTTTCTAAACCGAGAAAGAACAGGAAAAAAAAAAAAGAAGGGAAATCCTGTTACACTGTTCCTGTTGCATTGCAACCTTTTATATCCTTGTATAGAAAGGTAATTGGATTCATAGATGGTTTTAGCATGCCCAATTTGTTTATCAAAAATGTCAGAGTAAGCGGATTTCTTGTTGCCGTGTACTGTCAGTTCAATTGGTTTATTTTGTCCCACAAATGCTTTCATTCTGACTGCATGTGTGATTTTTACGTAAAAAAATACTATGTATGTTATCATGCAAAATTATGCTTTTATGTAAACCCTTACTCTTTTAAGTAGACTTCCATGTAGACTTTTGCTCTGGGAGAGGAATAGATGTGATATTTAGCACTCTGAAATATAATGAGGGCATGTGGTAATTATGTAAAACCAAAGAGTTGAACCAATGCTCAAGGTACTCCAAATGTTTCTTTGTGTCATCGTTTTAAAAGATGCCATGTATGCATTCAATTTCTCCTCCACAGCAGTCTACAGCCTCCTGAGTTTTTATTGTGCAGAGCGAGGTTGGCAAGGCTAACCCACAAAGTCGTGTTTTACGAGCGAAGAATTGAAATGAGATTGAGTTGAGGTGAACACAAACACACACACACACACACACACACGTTTGCTGTTTTACCATAGTGGACTTTCCCTTGACTTAGGCTGTTGTTATTCTGAGCTAATGATATTTTGTGTCCCTTAATCCTGGACCTGAAAATGTTTGGCTTTTTTTTTTTTTTTGACATTTTTAGTACGTTTATTAATCCGTGTTCCTTCTGAGGCCTGGTAAAACCTGACTAGAGGTTATTAAGAAGGTTATGATTTACACACAAATACTATAATTTTTTCTTTTATCAAATCTCTCTTTCTTTCTTTCTTTCTTTCTTTCTCTCTTTCTTTCTTTTTGAGGCCAACGGGTTAGGCAGTTTTGCCATGTGTGTGCTATCCTCACTTTACCATTTGTGAAAGACAGTCCCTGAGGAGAATGAGGGCATGCATGGAGACGCTGTGGACCAGGGAACCTGCGAGGGACACATGGCACGTCTGAGTGTGAGGGGAAGCCCTGTGCTTTTTGAAGTGGAACTTTAAAGACAGTGTTTACTCTTCTGGGAGCTGGGCCACACAAGAATGCGTGTGTCATGACGGGATGTAGGAGCTGAGGAATGTTCCTCACAATCCCCACACTGTAGACCAGAGCCAGCCAGAGAGCAAGATGTTTGAAATATTTATTTTAGCATCAGCGTTTAAAAAAGACATTGGTTTATAGCCTGTTGGATCATGAAGAGCCCTTGTGGATTGCTTTCTGTTGTTCTTGGCTGGCATCCGCTTGCAATGTGAAAAAACTTGCAGGATGCTAGTACATTTTTTTCTGTTAGTATGGTGTTGTTGCCAAATGATGAAGATAAGACTTGCACAATGATGAAGATAAGGCGCTCTCTTAAGACTAACCATTTTGTTTTGCAGAGCCTGAATTGGATGCACCAAGAGTGCTGGACAATATTGCTAAACAAGTCAACCAGACAGTCAGGAGGCGGAGACACGCTGGTGGTGATGATGACTACAACATTGAGGTGCTGCTTGGGGTAGATGATACTGTTGTCCGTTTCCATGGGAAAGAGCATGTGCAAAACTATCTCCTCACCCTGATGAATATTGTGAGTATCCCATCATCCTTAGCAGGACTTAGTAGAAACATTTATTATTCTCTCTATCTCTCTCTCTCTCTCTCTCTCTCTCTCTATATATATATATATATAAATAATTGTAATAAACTTGGTGCCAACTAGCTGAAATAAAACATTTTTGGTCACACTTTAGTTTACCAATTCTCACTTTTAACTAACTATTAACTATGAATTTTGCCTCAATAAATTTCTGATTTATATATATATACTCTGTTTATTAATAGTTAGTAAGGTAGTTGTTAGTTTTAGGTATGGGGTAGGATTAAGGGATCTACAATATGCTCATGCAGAATAAGGCATTAATATGTGCTTTATAAGTACTAATAAATAAATATATTAATAAGTTATAATAATATTAATTATTAGTAGTAGTAATAGTAGTAAGTAGTAGCAGCGTCAATATTATTTGCTTTTTTTTGTTTAAAAACATTTTTAAATATTTTATAAAACTGCAAGAAAATAATTTTTAACATGCAGATTCCTAGATTTAAATACTCTAAATCCCCTCAACTGGCCCAAAACTGTCTAATGATGGCCCTTGACCATCGGGCCTTCTTTATTGTTGAGCAATCAATTATTTTCCTCCTCATAAAACCTATTAACTCTCCTCCTGATTCAGTCCTCTGACACACACGTAAATGGAAGGCAGTCTGGCAGAGGTGCCTAATGGCGCTTTTCCACTGCGTGGTACGACTCGGCACGGCTCAGCGGTACGGTTCACTTGGAACCTCAACCGAGGTGGTACTAAAAAAAGTACCAGGTACTGTACCCAGTGGAAAACCCCCCAAAAGTGAACCGTACCGAGCCGTACCATGCAGTGGAAAAGCGCCATAAGTGTCCTTACTTATTTGAGGAATTCATTTCAAGATGATTACTGATGACAAAATACCTCTCTGCCAGCCTACAGAAAGTAGATGGCGGCAGTCAGTGTTTGCTTATACACAAATATGTCAATAAGCTGCTTCTGTAAAGAGACTGACCTCACATGAGGGGTGAAACTGTCCAGATGTGATCATGTCTCTGACATTTTCTGTTTTGGGAGGGAAAGCACATTCTTAGGCTAGCACAAGAAAAAAACTCAGTCTCCTTTGTTAAAATGGAGGACCCCATTATCTCTGCAAGACTGACATATTACTCATTTTGTGAATGGCGCTGTTCTGAGGAGAGTTTTGAAACATGACCACACATGCTCTGTGTAATCGGTGTATAATAGCATCACTCATCAGGTTTTAGGGATTGAGCATGTAATCTATGGGCTCGTTTACACTAGTAAAGTTTAAGGTTAAATTTCAGAAGTCCTTCCTCCAGTAGATGTCCCTACTGCTCTGTTCACCAGTGCATTGATGAGATGTACACTATAATTTTTCAGTAAACCCAGACTAATGTTTGGCCCATCGATAGTACAATCGCCTTCTCTTTTCACTCATACGTATTCCACTGAAATCTCTGCCCTGATGTCAGTAATGTTGGATGTTTTATATAAAATACCTTCACAGAGAGATATTACTGTGCAGCTTTGCCCAAAAATACATACAGAATATATAAATAAATAAATTCAGTGTTATTTATTCACTTGTTTGTTTGTTTACATTTATTTATTTTATTAACTTTTTTATGCCATCTGTAGCCCTAAGACCTGTCTAAAAACACCTTCTATGCCTCAGAGAACCATTCTTACGGGTCTGAGGTTTTATTTATGTACTTACTTACATATTTATTTGTTCTTTTTCTGTATGCACAATAATTTTTCCTCATTAAACTGGAATGGGTTTGAGTTTTCAGAATTTAATGAGCTCTGTATAAAAATGCAACTTTCACACAAGCAGACTTCTGTGATTAGGTGACTTGCGTGCTTATTTAAAGCCATGTTGCCTGAAGAGGACAATTTTCTGAATCAAACAGAGCTTCTGTTTAATTGCATGAGATGGCTGGGAAGAAGAGAGGGTGCAGTTGGTAAGAGACTTAACGTCCTCTGCTGATTTAGAGCATCGTTGAGGCAATCTGTGTTCATATGCCAGTGAACAATTTAATCATTCGCACGGGTACATTCATTTTTTTGCTGCTTGCTACAACAAATCACTACAGCAACAAAGATCTGCTGAGGCATAGTTTTTCTTTCTGTGGCCCCCCTCATCTTTCAAAATCTGACCAAACATTCAATGCATATAAAAAATACACAGTATTTTTCTTGAACATAATAGTTTTTTTTCTCACCTTTCCCTCCTGAGTGCAGAGTTCGTTGCAGACCTGACAGCCTCTGCAAGGTTTAGGGTACAAAAAAAAAAAAAGGTTTGCAGTACATTTTGTATGTAAAATAAATTTTTTTGGAGGGGGGGGGTGTCAGAACAAATTTGAATAATACGCTTAAGAGTTTATTATACTTCTCCAGTTTATCACATGTGCTTTAGTTGGCTGATTGTGTTTTAGGGACTGAAAGCAACAATGTACAAAAAGTAAATACATATATCAAAATATAAAATAGTATTATTATTATTATTGTTATTATTATTATTAAAAATGGTGTGATTCTTTTTCCAGTGCAATATGGCAGAACAAATGGCAGATCTCCTGCATGCATGGACATAATGCTCAATCTGATTGTTCATGCTTTTTTTAACAAGAGAAGAGATCTCAGTACAAATTGAACACAGATGTGCATTTAGATCCACCACAGAGTTGTCTCTCCCCGCTGACGTACAGATGATCAGGACAACGTGACCTTTTTGTTTACAGAATTATATGATAGAAACTGCTTAACTGGGTCAATTGGCCTCAATGTCATGAGAACAACAGTCATAATTTTAGGTGTTTGCATCAGAACTTCAAAATGTTCAATTATTATATCAGTTATTAGTTATATAATATTATTATTTACTGTATTATATCAGCATCACAGCAAGAAAACTCCATTGTAACTCCCGTTGTCCAGTCAGTTAACCAGCCAGGTTAATCATATGGCTATACTGATGTGTGACTTAGGAAAAGTTGTGTCACTTAGAAAAAGTTAACAAAAGTCATGGGTGGGGAATTTGGTGGTCTGTTAAATTCTAGAGATTCACTGGCATATATCATGTATGTAAATGGGTGTATGTGAAAACTTATGGTGGCCAGTTTTAGAAAATAGCTCCAAAAAGTTTTGATGAAGCATTTGTGCCATTTATGATGTAGTCACTGGGTACGGCACTACACCCTACATTCAACCAGAAAAAAGTGTGCCTTCAAAATTCAGCACCCCACACAGCAGCCTCTTAACTAGGTGGGAAAGGAAAAACATCAGAACTTTTTAAAAGGCCTCTGTATGACCAGCTCAACACTGGACCCCTTTCATTTACCAACCTTTCATAGGCTTTTCCATGCCAGCCGTAGCCCCAAGACCTGTCTAAAAACGCCTTCTATAATGCCTCAGAAAGCCACTCTTACAGGTCTGAGATCCCATTTCCTCCTGCTCTCTTTATCTCGATGCTGTTGCAGAAAAACCTTTGCTTTCTTTTGCTCATTGTCAATGGTGGTGAGGGTTTAGAAATGGGATATAGCAGCTTTGTTTGTATTCTGCAGTCCCTGGACTTGATCAAATCAGTAGCTGTCATAAATGACTAGGTGGAGGATGACGCAACTTATATCCTTGCCTGATATCCTTTTTCCCCCTTTGTGCCAGGATCAATGTTTTGTTGTTTTATTATGTGGAGTTTAGGTGATAAATAATGTTTTATCATGTGTTTGCAGGTGAATGAGATCTACCATGATGAATCATTAGGAGTGCACATTAATGTCGTGCTTGTGAGGATGATCATGCTTGGCTATGCTAAGGTAAATTACTATTAAACATCTCTATCAAAACTAATTTTAATAGGTCATATCATATATATTTTAATGACTTTATATAAATTATAATGCTTTATGCCAAAAACAGTTATTTTTTCATGACCATTTCCCACCCTCTTTGACCCTATGTTAACCCATTAATTGTCGCACTTATAACAATTTATATTCTTGCATATGCATATAATCTGCAACTTTTACAATATGTTTTTTTTTTGTTAATTAAAATGAGATAACTTTAGTGTAGTCACATATATAGATTTATAGAAACTCCTGTATGAACCTATGCGTAGATTGTGGTAATAACCAGTATTTCACCCACCATCAACAATGTTGCAGTGTTATTTTATTCATTATCCAACAGTCATTGAGATGCTATTACATTTTTGTTTTTTGTATTTCTTTCTCTTTGTATTTATATTTCAAGTAACAGAAATGTTTTTAATGGTTTTCGTTTTAAGCCTAAAGTATACTTCGATTTTTATGCATATGCTATTAAATGAGGTATACTTTGAAAGGCGGCACGTTTGACTACAAGCATACGCTAGCGTACGTGTACAAAAAAGGAAGAATACTTTGGGCTTTAGTTAACAATAATAACCCTGAAATGTTGCCAGGTGCATTTCTAGGTAAACATCCAGAAATGGATTAAGTGCCGACACTTGACAGTTATATAGGTTGTCTACTAGCACGCCAGTTGTTTTTAAAACATCTATAGTCACCCAAAAAAAAAAAAAGAAATACTGCTGGAAAAAAAGTTTAGTTGCCCAGAGTCTTAAATAAGTTACATGGGACAATTTCTTTCCACTAGAGCTAATGTGACATAAAGCCCTCCCCAATTTCAGCACAGGTCAGTTGCCACCACAGTTGAAAAATGTGAAATAATTAGCTATGATGAAGCGCACAACAACTGTCTGCAGTTTAGCCACTTATATTAGTCCAATTATGAGTGTATCAAACCTCTCTCCATTCGCAGTTGTATGTAAAAATACATAAATATTTTCTAAGCTCATAATGCAGTCAACAAATACAGAGGTAATTTCATGTCTGTGTTGCAATACACAAATAATTGCAACATAGTTTGTTCTCTGCATTAGACATACATAATGTGATTAATAGCTGAAATGTAGGGAAAAAGCAGCAACCCGCAAAATTGCATTTTAGTTTATTGTACTGTAATTTACAAACAAAAAGTTTTGAGTTTCAGCTTTAAGGATCTCGACTGCTCTCTTGACTGTTAGTAAACAGGAGTTTATCTAAAAACATTACATAAACAGACCCCCAGTGATCGATGTGAGTCACTTTAAGGTGTTTTATAGATTAATGAATGCTTAAAGTGTCCCCTAATGAGTCTCTAATCTTTTTCTCAGTCCATCAGTCTCATTGAGGGTGGCAACCCTTCGCGAAGCCTAGAAAACGTGTGCCGCTGGGCAGTCATCCAACAGAAAGAGGATCCAGAGCACTCCGAGCATCACGACCACGCCATCTTCTTGACCCGGCAAGGCTTCGGCCCCACCGGCATGCAAGGTTTGACCTTTGGTTTTTGGCATGCTTTTGATTTTCAAACTTGTCACGTCCTATATAATTTTCCACACACAAAATCGAACATCTTAGATATGTTAATTCCGTGAAAAAGCTCAGTCTTTCTCTCGCTGTCTCTCTCTCGCTAATACTCCCTCACAATTCCCACGGGATTCTGTCAGCACCTCATCAATGCTCTGTGAAATACCAGCCTGACAAAATGCTGGTTGGTGTACAAGCTCTACTTTAGACAGATTGTGGATGTGTAAAGAGGTTCACAGCATTGGAAAAGGATAGCAGAGAGACATGAAAGCGCACTTACATAAGCACATAGGAAAAGGGGATTTTGTTGTCTAAGGCTCGAGGCAGCTGCTGAAGCAGCAGTCCTCTCAGAGCATATCTCCTTCAGCACTGACAAAGTTCACAGTGCACATTTAACATCTATTCAACCTGATAGGAAAACTCGCTCTTTTCCTGAGAAGAGCAGCACTGATCTCAGCATGAAGTGTTTATGCTGTCACTGCTACTCTGACATTTCCCTTATCATGCCACTATCTGTACTCATGGCCCTCGTTAATCTTCCGAGAAGAGCTCTTTGGCCTCTCCAATTACATGCAACACATTCAGTGGCTGGCAGTGGCCATGCTGAGCTATTCAGTGCCAGTGTGCTTTATTGGCTTATTGACACCAGATATGAATGTAGCTAAAGAGCTGAGATCTTCAGTTGAGCATCTGTCACAGTTTTGTAGGCTTGCATCAAAGGATTGTTTCATCCTTAGTGGTGCATGGTGCTTACAAACATAGCCAAAGTCTCTGCTGTCTGATATCAGTCACAATATACTGTTTCACACTGAACAGTTTTTTTTTTTTGTGTTTTTTTTGCATCCAAGCAATGCTGCCGACTTTGAATTATAATGCACTTTTCAGTGCCACTTAAGCATTCAAACACTATAACTTTCTCAAAAATGCATTTTTTTTTTAAGTTTAGTTTTTTAGTTTATCCGAAAATAAACTTTCCAAACCGGTTAACATTGTGTTTTTTTTTTCCTCAATACTCTTTAGAATATGTTTCACAGAATAAAGTTGTACAAGTTTGGAACAACATAAGGGTGAGTAAATGATGACAAAGTTTTCATTTGTAAGTGAACTATTCCTTTAACAGTGAAATAATTTGTGTACCATTTGCATTACTAAGTGGATTGGTTGGACAGGTAAGAAACTCAGGCCTTTAATTCAGCCATTTCTGTGTTTGACTGATCGGAATGCTTAAACAAATAAAGCAAAATTCATAGAGCATCAGTGTTTACTTTTTGAGGAACATATAAATCCTACTATGGTGAATGTTATTGCGTTAAATGTTAATATTTACATGACACTACGCCCCCTCCACCCAGACACATGAAAACCAGCACAATTATCCAAATCACTTTGCACAACAAATGCCATTAACAAGAAAAAAAATTCCTTTTAAAAACTGAGAAATTTTCTTTTCACATAACTCATTTGCATTTGATATGAATTTGATATATTTACAGTATATGTTTGATTGACACTCGTTTGTGATTGATTGTTCTTGACTGCATGCCAGATTGTCAGTATGTTAGATCAATTGCACACTTCACTGTATTACACTAGAACAAAGTGTCTGTCTTTGTCCAACACAATGAAATGTGGTGTAATGACAGATGGTAGGTGACATTGTTTTGGCACACACAGATACCTTTGCATGAAAGACTCCATCTGGTTCCCTCCCCCTCTAATAATCCTGTTTCAAGCACTTTGCTAAGGCCTCTAAATTATCAACATGATCAAAACATTGCTGAAAAAACTGTTAACAATCTACTACATTGGTTCTCAACCTTTTTTGGGCCAGAGCCCCCCCACCCATTATCCAGGTCCCTTACCGCCCCCATCAGATAAAATGTAGTCTAATCGTCTTCTATGAATATTAAAGTTGATTATTATTTAGTTTTTTATAATGAGGACTATTATTATATTTACAGTACCATTGAAATTTTTGGAGGTACTATTTTAAGAAATTAAATACTTTAATTCAAAGCTTAAATTGATCAAAAAAGACAGTAAATTGTTTTTTTTCCCCAGTAAATTATTTGGGGGGGTAAGAACATTAATTTACAGAATTCTTAAGCATGTTGGTGATTTTCAGTGCTACAGTTTTGGTGATTTTGAGGTTTCTTTCACATTAGGGCCTTTCGCACCGTAGGAACCTTTTCATAGTACCAGAACTAATTGTGGAACTACCCACTTTTTGGCGTTTTCGCACCGCCGGAACTGGGTGCGATTTTAGTACCGGACTGCCTTTTTCGAGAACCAAATTAGCTCCTACTCCGGAGCAGGGTCTAACCAGCACAACTGGTACTACCCGTGACGTAAGTAGACACTGATTGGCCAAACTCGTACAATGAGGACTATTATTATATTTACAGTACCATTGAAATGTTTGGAGGTACTATTTTAAGAAATTAAATACTTTAATTCAAAGCTTAAATTGATCAAAAAAGACAGTAAATTGTTTTTTTTCCCCAGTAAATTATTTGGGGGGGTAAGAACATTAATTTACAGAATTCTTAAGCATGTTGGTGATTTTCAGTGCTACAGTTTTGGTGATTTTGAGGTTTCTTTCACATTAGGGCCTTTCGCACCGTAGGAACCTTTTCATAGTACCAGAACTAATTGTGGAACTACCCACTTTTGCTGCGCTACAGAAAAGTTGGATTGAGCAAACACTGAAATAAACAATCGTTGCTATGGAAATTATACAATGTCTAGTAGCATTGGTATAAGCTAGCAGGTAACACTACTCTACTACACTGACCGGACGCAAGCGGCGCAACACGTTTCTTCAGAGCACATAGAACCTATTATAATCAGTGATTGATTCTGTCACTGAACGCACGCTCACAGTAAACGGATGCATGACACGTTCTATTTCTGACACAATCCACATGCTTGCACTACCGTGCTAACTGGACAGATTTGGAAAGTTCACTTTAATGCATTCAGTGAAGAGACGGTGTTAGGACATTGCAGACCATTTTCTTTTGCAAGTTTCAGCTCATACATCATCGTTGAGAAACACTAATCTACCACAGACCTCATGTCATCTGATTGATAGTTTATACTTTTTAGCAAGTAAACCACCTTTTAATATAAATCTAAAAAACTGTCCACCTTCAGGTTGGAGTACACATGTCTTTTTGCTGTGAAACCTTTACTGAAGAATACATTTTATTTTGTTAGTAATATTTCAAGGAGAACACTTACTGGACTCAAGCTCAGGTTTACCTGATTATCCCAACCTGGTCTCATGGCAAAAACGTACCTGGGGGCACATTTTTGCGAGACGCGAAATACGTACCAATAATATCACTGCAGTTTCCAAAAGAAATGAACACTAGAGGCAGTAAAACTCCGACACCTTTTATTCCTTTTCACACACATTTACAGAGTTTCGATTAATAAAGCGTAATTTTCGCACAATTACTTGAAGAATATCATGTTATGACTTCAAAACAATTTTAATATGCTGGGAGATTTGAAAACTGATACTTTTGAA